CCAGGCTGCTGTGTCCTTTCCCTATTTAATGTCCCTCACGATGATCACCAGCCAGGCAGCAGCCACCTGCTCGGGGTCTGGCCAGCTCCCAGCACTGTGGGGAGGGCTTGGTGTTTGCAGAATGGTGGCTTTCTGCTTCTGCTTCCAGGGAAGGTCACCTGTGGGGGCCAGCTCCAGCCTCTCCCTTCCAACCTCTGTCAGGCTCTGTGAGCAGAGTTCAACTGTGACGTTTAGGGCAGTTTTCTTTCTTTCTTTTTTTTTTTTTTTTTTTTTTTTGAGACAGAGTCTCACTCTGTCACGTAGGCTGGAGTGCAGTGGCGTGATCTTGGCTCACTGCAACCTCCTCCTCCCAGGTTCAAGTGAGTTTCCTGCCTCAGCCTCCTGAGTAGCTGGCGTTACAGGCGCACACCACCACGCCCTCTAAATTTTGTATTTTCAGTAGAGATGGGGTTTCGCCATGTTGGTCAGGCTGGTCTCTAACTCCTGACCTCAAGTGATCCGCCTGCCTCGGCCTCCCAAAGTGCTGGGATTATAGGTGTGAACCATGACACCCGGCCAGTTAGGGTGATTTTCCTGTGATACCAACAGCGACCACCATCACACGTTCATTCCGCACCCCGCTGCACCAGGCTGCCCTCGTGCCCCTTCGTCTGTGGGTTTTTCTGGGGCCGCCTGGGACACAGGTGGAGATCTGGGTTCCCACCGCCTCCTGTGCCTCTCGTGCTGGCCTGTCCTGGCGTGGTTTGAACCAAGACATACCAAAAGGAGACCTCACCACTTTGTTGTGAGAAACCCCAGGACTCTGGTAGAGAACCGGGTCACGTGCTCAGCAGAGCTGCGTCCAGCAGAGAGGGGACCTCCAGGCAAGTCATGCTGTGGCGCCTTCTCTCCTCACCACCCACCGCTGCAGACAGCATCCAGATAAAACCCAGCCACATTAAAATAACTGGGTTTTTTTTCTAACTTATCATAATTTCTTGATGTGCTCACAAATTCTCTCTAGAAAATGGAGCTAGCACCAAGGACCTCTCCCTATCCCCTACTTCTGGGCTGATGCCAGCGTACCCAGGGACACGTGTCACTAACGTATCTTCATAACTTGGGTGGACCCTGACTCCGGCTCTCCCAGAAGAAATCTTCCCTGTAGGAGCTTCCTCCTGTGACTGCAAGATAAAACTTGCTTTCTTTTCTTGGCTGGGCACGGTGGCTCACACCTGTAATCCCAGGACTTTGGGAGGCTGAAGCAGGCAGATCACTTGAGGTCAAGAGTTTGAGACCAGCCTTGCCAACATGGTGAAACCTGTCTCTACTAAAAATACAAAAATTAACAGGGCACAGTGGTGGGTGCCTGTAATCCCAGCTACTCGGGAGGCTGAGGCAGGAGGATTGCTGGAACCGGGAAGTGGAGGTTGCAGTGAGCCAAGATGGCACCATTGCACTCCAGCGTAAGTGACAGAGCGAGACTCCATCTCAAAAATAATAATAATAATAATAATAATAATCAGACTGCCTAACAGGGAAAGACGTTACCCAAAGGGCAACTGAGAGGCGGAGTTAGCGTCACTCATCATTACCATTTGGTTGCAAAGAACAGAAACTTATCTAACACTGTTGATGTGGAGAACGACCGATTGCAAAGACACAGACGTCCCTCCTCTGACTTCCGGGCAGAGAGCAGAGCCAGGGCTCTCAGCAGGTGGAACGCTAGGATTCCCAGGTGGCCAGTCCCCCCGCCCATGCCCATGTGGTCTCACTTTTCCATTGCACATCTGCCTCTTCCTTCTGCTCAGTCATCCACTTGCACGGAACCCCTCAGGAAGTGCTCCTAATGGGGGCCTGAGCCCTGGATATGTATGAACCTATTGAGTTCTAGCTCCCAGAACTGTCTTCATTTCCAAAGCCAACCCTTCAGAAGAAACCGAATTTCAACCTTCAGAGGAGACATAATTTGTCCTGGCTTGGGATCAGTGCCCATTTTCTGGTTTGGTTAACTGAAGCCAGGGAATGGGCTCATTCGATGCTTTTCCAGACTAGAGGTCAGGCTGGTTCTCTAAGAGGGGCCAAGAGCTGGGAGGAAATGACGGACATTAGAAGCCATGCTTTTCTCAGGCTGGACGCAGTGGTCCATGCCCGTAACCCCAGCACTTTGGGAGGTCAAGGCAGGCGGATCACCAGGTCAAGAGTTTGAGACCAGCCTGAACAACATGGTGAAACCCTTCCTCTGCTAAAAATACAAAAATTAGCTAGGCGTGGTGGTGCGCACCTCTGTAATCCCAGCTCCTCAGGAGGCTGAGGCAGGAGAGTCACTTGAACCCGGGAAGTAGAGGTTGCAGTGAGCCGAGGTCACGCCACTGCACCCCAGCCTGGCGACAAGGTGAGACTCCCTTTATCAAAAAAACCAAACAAACAGAAGGGTGCCCCGCAGTAAGAGGGTGAAGGCACATCACTTATCGAGCTCCTGCTCTCTACCCTGGACCCACTGTGGGTTTTCTCTCATTCAGTCCACACCACAATCCCCTCTGGAGATTTCCCTGGGACCCAGAGTGCTGCATGGACTGACACAGTCACAGCCTTCAGTGGCAGCACCAGCGTTGACCCTGCACGTTGGACGCTGGCACCACCACTGAAGGTGGATGAAGAGGCTCATCCGCTGCCACACCACGTGGGTTCCCCGTGGTTTTTCGTGGAATCAGAAACCTGAATGTCAAAGTCAAAGTCAAGTTAGAAGGCAGAACCAGCAGATGAGAGTCTGGGAGTACAGGCCACGCTTCGGCTCCAAAGAGTTCCACCTAATGGCTTCCTGGTGGCCCCAGTAGAGCTTCAATGGGCCTCCTGCGTCGGGTGTCTCTTTGGCCCAGGGAAGCATCTGGACAGTGTTTATGGCCTTTGGCAGTGTGGGCGTTTGCCAGTTCCTCCAGGAAGCCTTCTCTAAAGCGTGCGGTAAAGCATAAGGGCTGAAAGCAAGGGCTTTGAAGCCAGGCAGGTGCCGGGTTCTGTTCTGTGATGGGGCAGGTCACTTACTCTCCGCGCTCCTCAGTTGTTCGGTGAGATGGTTCTGGCTCTTTCAGTGGGTTGTGCAGGTGCATCCGCAAGAAGCGCATGGAAAGTGCTTTGCACCTTGTGCTTGAGACAGGAAATTGCGCATAAATGGTAGCAGTGACAAGAACAATAACTATATTATTATTATAGTCACTCTTAGTTGCTTGGATGACAGATCACAGAGGTATGTCTTCTGTCTCCCCACCTACTGCAGCACCAGCAAAATGCCTTAGGCATGTTTATCTCCATATGTACCCAGTGTTTAGCTCCAAATTACATGTGAGAACATGCGGTCTTTGGTTTTCCGATCCTGTGTTAACTGGCTTAGGAGAGCAGCCTCCAGCTGCATCCATGCTGCAGCAAAGGGCACGATTTGGTAGATGCTGAGAAAATATTTACTCAATGAATGTATTATATAAGGGTGCCTATAAAGTCTGGAAACAGGCCAGGCATGGTGGCTCACGCCTGTAATCTCAGCACTTTTGGAGGCTGAGGTGGGTGGATCATGAGTTCAGGAGTTCAAGACCAGCCTGGCCAAGATGACGAAACCTCTTCTCTACTTAAAATACAACAACAGCAACAACAAAATAGCTGGGCACGGTGGCAGGTGCCTGTAATCCCAGCTACTCAGGAGGCTGAGACAGGAGAATCACTTGAAGCCGGGTGGCAGAGGTTGCAGTGAGCCAAGATTGCGCCACTGCACTCCAGCCTGGGCGAGGAGTGAGGCTCCGTCACAAAACAAAAAAGCGTCTGGAAACAGAGGCAAAAGATACAATAAATTGTCTGTTGATACTGTACTACAATGCACAATGTAATACAATACGACACAACAATACGATACAATTTGTAGTATTTATCAGTGTAGTCATTTATAACGCATGGTCCTGTGTGTCATACAACATCATACAACATTGCAATGAACGTGGTGGGATAATGCAGCATTCCTGTCAATCCCTGCACGTATGTCTGTGAGTGGTGGTGTCTCGTGTGATTTTCCTAAGAATTTTGGATACAAGAGGTCCGTGTGCAGATTTGTTACGTGGATATATTGAGTGATGCTGAAGTTTGGGCGTCCGTTGATCCCGTCACCCAAATTGTGAACACAGCACCCAACAGGTGGCTTTTCAAGTCCCCCCTCTCCCTTCCTGCCTGCTTTTTGAGTTTCTGTCTATTGTCACCATCTTTCTGCCTGTGTGTACCCAGTGTTTAACGCCCATTTACAACTGAGAACATACGGTATTTGACTTGCATTAATTTGCTTGTTAGCCCGGCCAGAAGCTGCATGATGCCATTCCATTTGGTGGTTTTTGTGTGTGTGTGTTTTTTTTTTTTAAGACAGAGTCTCACTTTGTTGCCCAGGCTGGAGTGCAGTGGCACAATCTCAGCTCACAGCAACCTCCGCCTCCTGGGTTCAAGCAGTTCTCTGCCTCAGCCTCCCGAGTAGCTGGGATTAGCCTGGCTGACTTTTGTGTTAGTGGAGACGGGGTTTTTTTAATGGAGACTGTTTTTTAGTGGAGACGGGGTCTCACCCTCTTGGTCAGGCCGGTCTTGGTGATCCACCCACCTGTGGTCCACCCACCTCGGCCTCCCAAAGTGCTAGTATTACAGGCGTGTCTACTAAAAATATAAAAATTAGCCAGGCGTGGTGACACAAAGCCTGGACGACAGAGCGAGACTCCATCTTAAAACAAACAAACAAACAAAAAGAAACACGCAGAAACACTCCAGAGGCTGAGGCAGGAGAATCGCTTGAACCTGGGAGGCGGAGGTTGTAGGGAGCCAAGATCGTGCCATGGCACGTCAGCCTGGGCGTCAGCAGCCTTCCGGAGAGAGGAGGCGTGGGAACTGAGGGAGGGACTTGATTTGCTTGGCTGGAGCCTGGTCCATGCCAGAACGGTGCCTGCGGCAGGGCTTCTGGTGCTGACCCCTCACTGAGCTTCTCTTCTTTATCCCTCCCGCAGGACCCCAGCCATGATAGGCTGCTCGTTCGTGGTCAACAGGAAGTTCTTCGGTGAAATTGGTCTTCTGGATCCTGGCATGGACGTGTATGGAGGGGAAAACATTGAACTTGGAATCAAGGTTTGTGACATGGTGTCCCTTCCTCTTGGCGTGTCCATGTGTGTGCGCAGAGCTGCGTGGTCATCCGTGGGGTGTATTTAAAGCTTCTTACAGGCCGGGCACGGTGGCTCATGCCTGTAATCCCAGCACTTTCGGAGGCTGAGGCACCTGATCACCTGAGGTCAGGAGTTCGAGATCAGCCTGGCCAACATGATGAAACCCTGTCTCTACCAAAAATATCAAAAATTAGCTGGGCATAGTGGTGGGTGCCTGTAGTCCCCGCTACTCAGGAGGCTGAAACAGGAGAATCGCTTGAACTTGGGAGGCGGAGGTTGCAGTGAGCCGAGATCGCGCCATTACACTCCAACGTGGGCAACAAGAGTGAAACTCCGTCTCAAAAAAAACCCAAAAAACAAAAGCTTCTTACAGCTGATGAATGGCATTTACTCTGCCCTGTCCGTGGGGGATGTGGGAGCTGTGTTGTTACCACCCCCTCTAAACGTTGACTGTATGTTTCATGCCGTGGCAACCCACGCTGGGCATTAGCTGGAGAAAAAACTCACTCCCATTCAGTTTTGTTCTCTCTCTTAAATTTTTCTTAAATGATCTCCTTAAATTAATATTTCCAGGCCAGGCACAGTGGCGTATGCCTGTAATCCCAACACTTTGGGAGGCCAAGGTGGTGGGATCACTTAAGGCCAGGCTTTCAAGACAAGCCTGGGCAACAGAGCAAGACCCCATCTCTACAAAAACTAAAAAATTAGCCAAGCATGGTGGTGCATGTCTGTGTCCCAGGTACTCGGGAGACTGAGGTAAGAGGGTTGCTTGAGCCCAGGAGTTCAAGGCTGTAGTGCTCTATGATCGCACTGCCCTCCAGCCTGGGCAACAGAGCAAGAGAGACTCCGTCTCTCTCACAAAGGCATTTGTGGGTTGTGTTTTTAACAGCTTTATTGAGATGTTACTGACATTTAAAGATTTTGGTGACTCATACCAGTGATTTGGGAAGCCAAGTCAGGAGGATCACATGAGCCCAGGAGTTCAAAACCAAGCTGGGCAAAATAGTGAGATACTCTCTCTACAAAGAATAAAAAATTAGTTCACATTTATAATAACAGTGGCTTGGGAAGCCAAGTCGGGAGAATTGCTTGAGCCCAGGAGTTCAAAACCAGCCTGAGTGACATAACAAGACTCCCATCTCTACAAAAGACAAAAAATTAGCCAGGTGTGCTTGTATGAACCTGTAGTCCCAGCTACTCAAGAGACTGAGGCAAGAGGATCGCTTGAGCCTGGGAGTTCAAGGCTTCAGTGAGCCATGATTGTGCCATTGCACTCCAGCCTGGGTGACAGAGCGAGACCCTGTCTCGTAAAAAAAAGAAAAATCTATGTGTTTAAGGTGTACAGGCAATGTTTTGATACATATATACATTGTGAAATGAGCACCACAATCAAGCTAATAGCCACATCCATTGCCTCCATCTTGTTACCGCTGTGTGGGGTGGGGCGGGGGGGCGGTGAAAAGATTTAACGTAAGCTCTATCCTCTTAGCAAATCAAAAGTCTACAATACCGCATCTTTAACTGCGGCCATCATACTATGCATTCGATCTCCAGGAAGGATTCATTTTGCTTTGCGGTAACCTGGCAGGAAAGGCCTGCGTGTGGGGCTCCGCAGGCTTGGTGGTGAGGGTGGTAACAGCTTGGCAGGCGGGACTGTCCCTGGTCCCTGACGCAGGGAGGGGGCTCCTGGGTTCTTCCCCTGCAGCACAGTTCTGTCCACCGGCGTCCCTGTACCACCAGATCGTGGGTTCACATAGTCTCTTCACTCCTATTTTTGTTTTTTGTTTGTTTTGAGACAAAGTCTTGTTCTGTCGCCCAGGCTGGAGTGTGGTGGCACCATCTCAGCTCACTGCAACCTCCGCCTCCCAGGTTCAAACAATTCTCCTGCCTCAGCCTCCCAAGTAGCTGTGATTACAGGCGCATGCCACTGCACCCAGCTAATTTTTTGTATTTTTAGTAGACACAGCGTTTCACCATATTGGCCAGGCTGGTCTTGAAGTCCTGACCTCAGACGATCCACCTCGGCCTCCCCAAGTGCTGGGACTACAGGCATGAGCCACCACACCTGGCCTTTATTTTATTTATTTTTCTTCTTTTAATTTTCCTTTTAGGTTCAGGGGCACATGTCCAGGTTTATTATGCATATGAATTGTGTATTACCTGTATTGGTAATTGACACCTCAGTGAGCACAGATTATTACCCAAGTAATAAGTATGGTACCTGATAGGTAGTGTTTTGATCCTCACCCTCCTCCTGAAGAAGGAGCGGCCACACACAGACCTCTCGGATCCCAAACAGGGAAGGAAGTGGTGATTTATTTGGCCAGGAGTCTCCATGGACACGCGTCTCAAGAACCGAGCTCCCTGACAAAGAAAATCCTAGCCCTTTTAAAGGCTTACAGTTCTAGAAAGTACGTGTGAAAGGGTCTTGATCCATGAAGTAGGCGTGGGGTACGTGACCAGGTGGGGTTTGGTTGTGTTTAAGCAAAAACAATGTCTTCCAGGAAGATTCCTCCGTACCATGCCTGTGATCTACAGGTGTGCGATTAAGGTTGGCGCCCGGGTCTGCCAGCCTCTACCGCTCCTATTACAGTGCAGTGTACGAGGCTAGAGGGAGGTGGTCTTAGAAGCTCAGGAGAATTAAGGGTCTCCTTCCTCACTGCCCCCCTCCACCCTCCACCCTCAAGACACCCCAGTGTCTATGGTTCCCTTCTTTGTAACGATATGTGCTCAGTGTCCAGCTCCCACTTACAAGTGAAACCGTGGTATTTGGTCGGATGTTCCTGCGTTAATTCGGTTAGGACAGCGGCCTCCAGCTCCATCCGCGACCTCCCCTCTTACAGCATTCCGTTGCGTCCATGTACAACCCTTTCTTTACCCAGTCTGCCGTTGATGGGCATTTCAGTCGACTCCGTGTCTTGGCTGCCGTGAATAGTGCCACAGTGAACATACGCGCGCACGTGTCCTTATGTAGAATGATTTGTGTTCTTCTGGTTCTGTATTCAGTACTAAATGAGATTCCTGGGCGAAACGGCTATTCTGTTTTAAGTTCCTTCAGCCATTGTGGAAAGCAGTTTGGGGATTCCTCACTCCTTGTTGATGGACGGAGTGAATGGGCCCTGCAGAGCCCAGTTTGCCTCAGGCAATCTCTCCCCAGCTTTGTCTCCCCCAGGACAATTCAGCTCCCCTGCCAGGGTAGGTTTTTTTTTTTAATTGTGCTTGAAGCTCTGGGTACCTGTGCACGTCCCGCAGGGTTGTTGCGTAGGTACACACATGCCATGGTGTTTTGCAGTCTCCGTCCCCCCGTCACCGACATCAGTCATTTCTCCCAGTGTTTTATCTGCCCAGCCTCCCCACTCCCTGATGTCCCTCTCCCAGCCCCCCACCCCCCAACAGACCCCAGTGTGTGATGCTCCCCTCCCTGTGTCCATGTGTTCTCATTGTTCAGCACCCGCCTATGAGTGAGAACATGCGGTGTTTGGTTTTCTGCTCTTGTGTCAGTACTCTGAGAATGATGGCTTCCAGGTTCGTATGTCCCTACAAAGGACACAAACTCATCGTTTTTGATCGCTGCGTAATATTCTATGGTGTATATGTACCACATTTTCCGTGTCCAGTCTATCATCGATGGGCATTTGGGTTGGTTCCAGGTCTTTGCTATTGTAAACTGTGCTGCAGTGAACATTCGTGTGCATGTGTCCTTATAGTAGAATGATTTATAATCCTTTGGATATACCCAGTAATGGGATTGTTGGGTCAAATGGAATTTCTATTTCTAGGTCCTTGAGGAATCGCCACACTGTCTTCCACAATGGTTGAACTAGTTTACACTCCCACCAACAGTGTAAAAGTGTTCCTATTTCTCCACATCCTCTCCAGCATCTGCTGTCTCCAGATTTTTTAATGATCGCCATTCTAACTGGTGTGAGATGGTATCTCCATGTGGTTTGGATTTGCATTTCTCTAATGACCAGTGATGATGAGCATTTTTTCATATGTTTGTCAGCTGCAGTAGGTCTTTATTAAAAGTGTCACTTGTGTCCTCTGTCCAGGGCATGGATATCACCCTGGAGTGCAGTGACCTGCCTCTTACAGTACTTCAGGGGATCTCCAACAGCTGAGACGGGAGAATGATTTTGCTTCTTAACTTCCCATAGACCCCATCATCCCGTAAGCTGCAAGGTGATCTTGACATAAGCCTTGGTTTTCTGCCAGTTTTTAAATGGGAGTGAGTGCTGTTGATTGCAGAAAGGCAGAGACCTGTGTTCGGAATCTACACAGAATTCTGTGGTTCCCATGTTTCCCGTCAGCGGCCTTCACATCATGTGGAAACTTGTTAGAAATGAAAATCCCTGAGCCCCGTCCCAGACCTCCTGAATCAGGCACTCTGGAGGGTCGTATTAGAATTCTTTCCCCTAAATGTTACTCATCTCTGTTTCCCCAATGCGCACTGTGATCTCTGACTTTTAGTAGGTGATCATTAGTGTTTGTTGAAAGAGGGAATGAATGGGAAAAATGAGGCCTTCGATTCCAAAAGAAAATTTTTAAAAATGTCCCTGCTTTGAGTCAAGCTTGTCCAACCCACCTTGGCAGGAAGTCCAGCTCCCGGTGTTTACCAAGCCCTCCCCCGCACCAGCAAACTTAGTCACGTGCCCTTGTTGGAGAGCAACTGGTCTACCCCTAGGTTTAGCCAACTTCTGGCAAATGCCTGCCTTTGAGTAGAAAGGGGCCCCGGTGAGAGTCCACCTCTCTCCAGTCCCTCTTCCAGGTGTCCCTCTGTGGCTACACTGGCCCAAAGTGAGTCCTTGCTTCCACTGCAGCCTACACGGTCAGAGCCCTGTGGGCGCCAGCATCTACTCCCTTTTTAGCTTCGTGTACAGGAGTCTCGACCAGGTGACTGCAGGGTTCCTGATGACAGAGCTCCCGTTTTCCAATGGAACAGTATACACAAGGTGCTTCAGAGAC